TGATTTTCCGGAAAGCGGATTCCGTCTTTTGAAAACTCGAGCACGTACCGAAACAATTCATTCGACCGCCACCGGTTCTTTGGCTGTGGCATGCATTACAACGGCAGCTGCACGTCTTCACATGGTCAAACTGATGCGAAAATTGGAAGAAGCCGGCGCCACCCTGGTTTATACCGATACTGATAGTATCGTCTATCTTCATAAAAGAGACTCTCCTGCAATCAAAGCTTTCAAATCACTGCATTGTGGGACGAGCCTTGGCCAGTTATCTAGCGAAATACATCCAAAACATCGTGGAACAGTTTTTATTTCGCCTGGTCCAAAACAATACGTGCTGAGGGAAATTGACGGTGAAGGAAATGTGCGAGACACGGCCAAGCTCCGAGGTATCACGCAAAACTACGAGAACCGGGAGAAGGCGACGCTGGATAACCTGGAACTGCAAACACGCGCGCTGCTTCAAGGACGGCAAGCTGATATCGAACCGCTACATTTTGTATACCAACGAATTAATAAGAAATTCGGAAAAATCTACAACCAATCCGTTAATATTGAATATTATGCTCGAAATTTGAAAGGATTATTGCTCGAAGATGGCCAAGTCCTCCCTTATGGCTATAGCACCAAACTTTCCCCCCGTTAGAAATGTATTGTGATTAACGTTTGCTTTAAAAAATACTAGGCTCCCTTTTACCACCATACCATAAAATGTTCTTTGTATGTGTTGTGATAAACTTGTGTGTGTTTTCTCTGCATGTGTTGTGATAAAGATGTATCAAATATGTTTTGTAATAAATATTAATTGCGAAAACCCTGTTACGTACCTTAAACACACCTCAACAAATACGTGAAATACATTTTTAGGCAGCAGTTCTAATGTTTCAAAGTATGGGGTGCGTGGCGCCAAGGGGACATAATAGTAGTGCTTTCGGTTCTTTCTCGGCCAAATACTTGGCTGTCCCCTTAAAGGGACATTCCGCTCTCGTTTTCAAGGTCTTGAAATGGTCAACACTTTAGCACGCGGTTACGGTAGGTGATCGACCTCCGGCAAAACCGAAACCGCAGCACTCGCCCCAGGGCAAGCGCCACAGACCAGTAGGCCATGGGAGAGACGGGAGAGGGGAGGGAACGAGAGGATATGAAGGGTCCGTGTGCCGGGCCGGTCAAGAGGCAAATTCGCGCCATTGAATAGTGGTTCAAAACGAGAGCGGAATGTACCTTAAAGATACCGTATACCCCCGGTCCACTTACCCTCGTGCGTCTCAAGTCCACCCACGGAGATGTTGTCCTCCTCTTCCTCTTCACTGTGCTTGCCGGACAGAATGTGAGGCGATAAAATCTTAATGCCAAATAGTTAAATTGTAATTTCTAAAGTTACTGAAAGACGTATTACAATGTAAATATGGATTAGCAGTCTTTCAATTTTTGACACATTTTTTCTAGTAAAGCTAAAATTATAAATTTTGCTGCGGTATTCGATTCCGACCGTTGGACAACGTCGGCTGAATTCTATATGCAGAAACGCGCGAAAGCTCTATCAGAAAATTCGAAAATTTTTATAATCGCAATAGAAGAAATCGTTCTAAACTGTTTTTTTTATATTCCTCGACATAAAAAAATCAAAAATATTGAATTTGCGACCACAATGCTGAAATATCACATTTTTTAGCCAGCCTTTTGACCGGAAATTCGCGACATATTAGTTAAAGGCGCAATAAAAACATTTATTATCAGGTTGGATAATAAGTTCTGTCACAATTTTTTGGAATAGCTTGTTAATGCTGCAGACGTGCGCAAATTAATAGTGTGATATATGGTTTGATAGGTCTCCGCAAGCTTTACCTTGGGTAGACCCTCCTCGCAGCCAAAGATTGCGTGTCGCCGAGATAGAGCTTCGATAAGTTTTCTGCAAAAACGTACCAAACCTATTTTGCAAGCTATCTCTGCATAGAGCAATTTGCATGCGATACCTTTAACACCAATCGATAGCTTTCGGGGAGTAGATATCGATAGACGTTGAGATCATCAAAATCGTACATCGGATGGCCGAGATACGACCCCTTGAAATTTGGCCCGTTTCTTAGAACTTTTCTCGAAATCCCATACATTTGGTCAAAATGCTCCCGGTTCTTTCAAAAATCAAGCGGCCAGTTTTGGCTCCGGTTGATCAAATGTATGGGATTTCGAGAAAAGTTCTAAGAAACGGGCCAAATTTCACGGGACCATATCTCGGCCATCCGAAGTCCGATTTGGATGATCTCAACATCTATCGATATCTACTCCTCGAAAGCCATCGATTGGTCTTAAAGGTATCGCATGTAAATTGCTCTGCAGAGATAGCTTGCAAAATAGGTTTGGTACATTTTTGCGGAAAACTTATCGGGCCTGTATCTCGACGTCGCTCAATTTTTCCGTCAATTGAGGGTCCTCCCAGAATAAAGTGTTGTGAGAACTATCAATCCATACCTCATACTCCAGAATTGGAAACATCTGCGATTTTAACGAGCGATTTCAAAAAATTGTGACAGAACTTATTATCCAACCTGATATAACGTTACCAGGCAATTCTGGACAGGTAGGAAAAAAATGCGCTTCCAGCGGCATTGCCAAAAAACGGGTACTTATTGATTTGAGGATAAGAGAAATTTAAAGAAATAAAAAATGTAATAAGTTAAGTTTTTAAGAGCCGAGATTTGCTGATTACTGCAGTTAAATTAGTCAATTTAACAAGGCTTAAATTAATATCCCTCACCTCGACCATAAATCGTTCATCGCTGTGCAGCACCCTAGGGGAGAGAATATTCGGCGATAGCACTTTCACACCCGACGCTTCACCGCTCCTTTAAAAGAACAATTTTTAAAACCGGTGCTTCTACTCAGCATTTGGTTTTTTAAAAAAGTTAAGGCAATTTAGTCCGAAACACTCGATTTCTTTAATTTTTCCAAGATCATCGACCAAGCCAATTTTTTTAATTCATGCTCAAATTAAATCCCAATTAGGTATTTAAAGACATACGCCACTTTGGGCGACAAAAAGTCGGGGCTAAGCACGTCGATGATCAACGCCTCAGGGCTGAGAACGCGCGGCTCGAAGAATTTCGGCACCAATATCTATAAAAAGAACGAATTTAAGAACGTATCTAAATAGCTAAATTATATTACTTAATGCAATAATATGGCAATAAACTCAATGTTTTAAAGACGCTGGATCTGAATTTTTCACAAAAATGCTTGAAAATAAATGTTTCATAAAAACGGTCTGAGACCGGCAACTTTATACCGTCAATGAGTTGTGGTGTTCAGTTGCTCTTTCAATTGCTATAAAGAAATCTGCAAATTGTTTGTAAGGTATTTGGGGTATATAATAGAGAGAATTTTTTGCGTTTTATCGAAGCATTTAATTATTAACATAGCACATTTATTAACACAATTATTTTCTAGTGTTTTTATTAGGTTCAAATCACTAAGCAACTACTTCATTCAAAAATGCACGTTTTCGAACTTTAAAATTGTTTTTTTTTAACAAAGTCTTTAAACAGCTCTTCTTAATTCTTCTATATAATTTTATTTTTAGGTTTAGTTTTAGTTAGTTTGCTTCCCACTTATTTTTCACATTTTATCTGATTCACGAATACTTAGTGTTTTTATTTTTGATTTTTTTCATTACTTGATCGTCCGAAAAAACCATCTGAAGGGTATGCGTGGGTCCACTAGCTGAAGAATTATCGCTGCACAAACAGCTAATCTATGAAACGCATTTTTTTCAACTTTCGAATGGATTGTTAGCAATATCTTTCAATTCGCTTTAAAATGATTCAGCAAGTTACTACGCTCTGGGGGCATATTACTGGCACCTTACCTATCATTTTTATTTTTCTGACCCTTCCGGGGTTCTGGTACGTACCTGTACAATGAACGCTTCCGGTGACAACACCCACGTGTTGAAAGCCCGCGGAGCCAGCACCTAAATAATTATTAAATCAGTATAGAATATATTGGTAATCAATTGGTACTGGACTGTTTGCGGGGGGTGAGCTAATTTTATTTTTCGGGCATTGTATATCCCTATCAACTATCATGCTCTTAATAATATTTATTGTACTTTATGGCTGCTGGGAACTTATAAAAAATATTTTTAAATAGCTTCGAATTTGAAAGTTTGGTCATTTTGTCAATCTTAATTTTTCGGAAAATGTTATAATTTTGTTATGTGCTCTTTATAGCTTAAAAACTGTGTAAATTGCGAAGGAATTGTTTATATTTCGTTCTAAGGCCGTAAGGGATTCCTGTACCCCCTAATACTCCAGTACGTAGGAGCTATCAATATTATCGCTCAACGATCTACCATTAACGTCACAAATCCATATCTAATCGATTTCTGGGCTGAAACACCGATTCTCGGCCGAAATTCGGCGATTTCGGATTATCGGGGGTGGCCAACTTTCGGCTGTGGTACTCAATTTTTCTAATATAATATGAGCAAATGTTTGAAATTGCGTTTTACGGTTCCTAAGCGTAAAAACCATACAGATTTTGATTAAAAATCGATGTTTCGCTCAACGAGTCGCTTTCAAACAAATCGTAAATTTGTAGGCTTTTTAGATTATTTTGCCACTCGAAATATATACAACATTTGAAAAAGCATTATTAATATAAATAAAATTAAATTTAAGTAAATGTGTGTAGTTTTTTGCCTAGGAATTGTTAAAAACAATTCAGAAACACATCCGCTATTTAAAAAATTTAGGCTTGCGACGTTAATCAAAATTATGTTTCAGTTCACACCCTTCATAGAAACGGTTTGTCGGCATTAATCCTCGGGTGACATACGGCAGCCAAAAAACAATACAAGGCATCAAAATTGGGAAGAATAGCAAAATTACATGTGCATGCAAAAGTTATACGTGCGGTTTAAATAGGTATAATTCCAATCGTTCCACAAGATTTCCGCCTTTTTCTCTTTTACACCGAAACATGATTGAATTTCTAGTCGTATTTTAGGGTTCTTTTACCTTGAGCGGGCCTTGAAAATCACCTACCTCGGCGCGGAGCGCGGTCGGGCTTAGGGTACGCGCGATGAAAGCGCCCGGCGACAAAATCGTCGCCCAAAATGCTTTTGGCGAGAGAACGTCGAGCTGGAAATTAAGGTAATAGGGCGTCCAAGGATACAAGTTTTGAACAATTTTGCAACATATTATACTTATGGAAAAGCCTACAAAATTCAGATTTTTAATGACTGAATAAAGATGATCAAATTTATACATTTCCAACTAAATCCCGACAGATTTGCTACCAGCATATTTCAGCGGAGACAAATGTTAAAATTATTCGTTTGGCGCCTTTTTATTTTCGGAAAAATTTTCTAATGATTTTTTATTACATTTAAGCTAGAAAGGCAACCGCATTCGAAGAATTTTTCAACTAACATGAAGAGGAGCTTATGGTGAAGAGGTAAATCAAAGTTTTGCTGGTCAAAAAGCAAGCCTGATTAAACTTATAGATTTCCAAGTAATTCCCAACCAGTTTGTAACATACAATTTTAGGTTCAAGCAAAACAAATTTTGAAAAGCTATGAAAATATCGTTCATACGTTAATACAAAGGGTAATTTATCAAAGAACTTCATTTATTAAAGTGAATTTCAGCCTCTACTGAAGTTGGAAGGGAGTCTGCAGTTCTGTGATTAATGCGTGGCCTTTATGTTGGCTGAGACTTTAACAAAACCAGTAAAAATGAAATATTCTGTGTCCTAGCTTTAATAATGTAGAATTTTTGAAAGCGTAAGAACGTACCACCATGAAATCCGGGTCCAACAGCTCGAAAATGAATGCTTCAGGGGAGAGCACGGCCACCTCCCATGTGAATCCTATAATTACTGTTTTGGTTTATCCAATAAAAAAATCGAGATCTTATTGGAACTGGGGTTTAAAATTAAGCCAGTCTTGGCTGCAAGTTTTATCTTAAAAGCTAGCGAGGGAGACGAGAGATTGAGAGAGAGAGAGAGAGAGAGAGAGAGACTCACCTTCCCCAACAAACGACCGAAACGCGGTCGGGTTCAGGATTTCGAATTCTACCAGATCTTGTTCTTTCCCGCCTTCCCCTTCTGGATTTGTCTCATTCCCGCCACCGCCGCTTTCTTCTATTTGTAGCTGGAAATAATTAAATAATATTGGAAGAGCTTTATAATTTCTTTCAATATTGACAAAAATTCCGACTAATTAATATGTTGAAGTCTCTGGAATCAAAAATATATTTATATAATTTTTTACCTGCGTGGAATTGTTCCCTGCTATACTACCAGCATTATGGTCGTCATCGCTGGCCGGGAAATCCTCTTGGAATTTTACCTAAAAATTTTAGATTTAATTAACAAATATTTTACTTACCGTCATATTTCCTCCATTCAATAAATCCACCACCGGGTCCACACGAGCCGCTCGTTTTGTCCGAAGCTTAGGTTTCTCTTGGGTGGTACCTTAAAATGTGGAATTTTTGTCAAAGAAGAGAGACAGAGCGAGAGATAGAGAGAGAGAGAGAGAGAGAGCGAGAGAGCGAGAGAGACACGGAGATAAAGAAACTCTCAAATCTTACCCATTTTTGCCAACTTCCGAATGTCTTCCTCCAAGAGGCGCTCCTTGTCGTCGGCCGTCATTTTGTTGAACTTTTTGAGGTCCAATGTGGAAGCGGCCGGGCCGATTACTAAACGTACGTTGTATAAAAGCTTAGCGGAAACGTATTTGACTCTACTAGTAGGGTAAGAATTTTTCTAAGCTGTAATTTTCTTAAAACACATTTTTCCAGGTTTGAAAACTGCCCACAATTGGACGGTGATGAAAATATCCTCTCCAGCTGCGGCTTCTCATAAAACATGTAGCCTTTGTCCCTGAAATAAATAGTCACTTTTTTTGATAGATAACATCAATTTCAAAAAATTTTTTAGTATGGTTTTTTTAGTATTTTTAGCACCGCGATAAGTTGAGGTAATATTTTCGATTTTCCCGTCTTGGCATTGCGAAAGTTCGAAACTATTTTTCTTGTCCACTTTTCGATATGTGCCGTTCTAAAGATCACTTTTATTACCACTATGATTTTGGAAGAAATAGTATTGTTTTAAATAGTTACTGTAGAAATGGAAAACATGTTTTAGGATCTTTAAATAATAAAAGATAAATGACTACCACTAAGAAGGACCAAATATTTTGGATTTTCCCCATCGTTAGCATGTCAATTTCGGAGCATTTTTCTTTTTTTTCACTTTTCAGCTATGTAATGTTGCAAAACTCGCTCGTAATACAAAAATATAGTTTTGGATACCCTTAACGTTCGTTAAAATGAATTATAATTGGCTAACTAATTTTATTAGCAATTTTGTTTCGGCCCTCATTTTGAAAATCTAGTTCGGTTTTTCTTTGGTAAGATTTATCAAATATATTTCTTTATAGCATTTGTAGAAAAGTATTGGTTAAACCTACCTCATCTGCTGCTTCTGATCCCAATTCAACGTTTTCAGCGCCTTCAATATCGTCATATCAAAGAGGGAGAGCTCGCGAATTGAGGGATACTGCTCCGTGTCCATTGTCCTGGAAATTGAGGTTGATTTTATAACATTATAGCGCTTTTTTAATTAGATTAAAAAATTTTATTTAGATTTGGAACGAACGAATTTTACTGTGTATCTAATAAAAACCTTGGTGTTGCTGAACCTATTCATGTGAGCAGAAACACGTTTTTTCTGCTCCATCTCTCCAATCACGCATTCTCTCTCAACCCCACTCACTCTCTCTCCTCTCTCTCTCTCTCTCTCTCTCTCTCTCTCCCCACTCTCTCCCACTCTCTCCCTCTCCTCTCTCTCTCTCTCTCTCTCTCTCTCTCTCTCTCTTTCTCTCTCTCGCCCTCTTTCTCTCCTACTGTCTCTCGTCAGTCGCATGGTGGTCTAACTGCTGAATCACTAATTAAAAATTCAAAGCGTGGGTCAATGAACTGAAAAAAAAATCGATTCAAATCGGAAAAATCGGAAAATAGATGAATCGCGAATGTTAATTAACAAACTGAAAAAACATTTAATCGGAAAATTCTAGATAAAAAGCAAAAACTAAGCTTCGCGAAAAACGTACTCCATCTGCGGGCCCAGCTTGCCGACGAGCTGATCAATCGAATTCGACGCGCCGCTGAGCTGCATCACCGTATCGAGCAGCTCGAACTGCTCCCCGCTGTCAGTTGTCAATTCCTTGAATTAATTGTATAGGAAAACAATTATTTTAATTTTGTCTAAATTTAATTCGTCGAAGATCATTTTCTCGAAATTTAAATGTTTTTTTTTCGCCTCGATTACCCAGCTCAAAAAAGAGCGGAATTAAAATTTTAGCGCATTAAAATTTCGACAAATTTAAATCTGGGTAAAGGATTTTCCATAAATTGCCATTTCGACAAAGGTATCTCAACAAAGTCAATTTCCCCCAAGGCATAGGAAATATGTTTCAAATCAAGAAAAACAGAAATTAAGGGCGGTCACAACAGTCGGAGCGTCGGAGCCAACAAAAGTAAATTATTTCATTTCATGGCACAATTAGCATTTAAGGTCGAATTTGAAGATATCATGTTTTGAATAAAATATAACTTTAGGTGGATCAAAATTAATTTTAATTTCTGGTCCACGTCCTCTAATAATCTAGGCAAAATCAAAAACCAATAACATTACCGGAATTCAAATAGTTGATACTATCAGTTAGGCTTAAGAACTTTCGAGCCTCAAGAAAATTATTTTTATTTTTAAGAAGGTAATATTTAGGTATTTGAGGTTTTTATGTGGCATGTAAAATACATGTATTCATTCAGTTTACATAAAATACAATTTTATGTAAAAATAATAAAAAATACACATGATAAAAAAATTGTGGCTCTAGAAAACCTTGGAATCTAGCCAGAATATGTAATTCAACTATCTTGCACCACCCGACTGGTAATTCTTGTATGCTTTTTACGTCATTGTAACTCGAAACTTTTTTTCAATAAACCCCTCTGGCTTGAAGACCTGTCAAGCTAGTTGTTGTTACGAAAAAGGCTTTAATCTTTCAAATCGATAAATAATTTAATTTAATTATATATTTGAGAGACATTCTAATTAGTAATTGATAATATATTTTATATAATGAATGTTAATAGAAAATATATTCTATCGGCCTTTTTGCTTAAAATTCTTTTAAAAAAATCTCCCTTTTAAAACGATGCTTACAAGGAGTCGTTTTTGGGTGATATTGGAGTTTTTGAACGAGACCTAGCTAGTTCGATAGAGAAAAAAATTCTGAACAAGATGTCGGTTTCCAAATCTGCTAACCGTGTATTGTATTCAATAAAAATTAATTTTAATGAAAAAATTCCTGGACGTCAGGCTGCGACCCATGTATCAGGCCCGGGACATAGCCCACAGCGCGAACCAACATCGACATGAGATCGTGGCCTAGTGGATAGTGCCGGCGCCTATCAAACTTTTGCAAAATTATGCCCAGGGTTCGGAACTTATTGTGATTTATTGTTTTGCTTTTTGGTTTTTCATGCCATTGAAATCGAATTTGGCATTATCGAGCAAAAAGCAAAAGAGTTTTACTAGCGAGGAGCCGAACCCGCTGGCAAAAAATGACAAAAACTTATGAAGCATGCGCACTACCAATAGGCCAGCTGGTCATGGCTGGGGGAGAGAACTAAAGGGGGCTATGTTGACGCGCACCCAAAGCGCAGAATCTGCGGATCAGGCGGAAAATGATGGTTAGATTAATGATTTTCAAAATAATTTTTATTGAACAGCGTACCCGGTTAGCAGATTTGGAAAACGACATCTTGTTCAGAATTTTTTCTCTATCGAACTAGCTAGGTCTCGTTCAAAAATTCCAATATCACCCAAAAACGACTCCTTGTTAGGCTTCCCTTAAGCTACTTTTAAGTTACCTCGTGTATGTCGAAAAGGCGATCAAATAAATAAAATTAGGCTCAAAAAAACTGACCAGCTACTATTACAGTGAAAAATCCTAACCCGTACCCCTCAACGCCTAAAACATCTTTTTTCAAATCTCCTTTTCACCTACGTAAAGATACTTTAAAAATACCTTAAACAACTCCTGGAGCGAGAAGAAGCCATCCTTGTAGAAGGAGAACATTCGGGGTGACAGTATCTGCTTCTTCTTTTTGCTCTGACTTTGTGGCAGGATGGGGAACACTTCTGGGGACAGAATCGCGAACTTGTCATTCCGGTCCGAGGAGCCGTTCTGAAGGATGCATATTGTAGGTTAAATAATAGCCATTTTTGTTTGGTGTAAACTGCTTATTCACACTTAAAAAAAGCGCAGCAAAATTTTCAAAAAATGCGGATCAAAAGGTTGTAATGAGTTCTGGCTGGTCTACTCAATGCGAAAACGATCTTTATTTAACCAGCCGTTCTGAAAAAATGCATACTGTAGCCCTAAATTTATTACCATTTTCTTTCTTTGACTTAATATGCTAATTTAAACTGAAAAAAGACCGCAAATTTTCAGAAACACATGTTTGATCAATAGGTTGTAGTGATTTATTTCGAATAGCCTCTAAGCGTGATATCTCTGAATTTCGGTACTTTTCCATTCTTTATAAATTTACATGCGTGCTAACCTAAAACTTTCACGTTAAGTGAGTTAAAGAACTTTATAAAATTGCATGCTAGAACACAAAAGACAGATTTGAATTTCGAAAAATATGTGTTTCGTCTTGGACTCGTAGCAAGGAAAACATCTGTACCATTGTTCTTGTATGTCGAGTAAAAAAATAAACCGTATTTTAGCTGAATAAACCGCTTTCAATTAAGTTCTAGTAAGAAGTATAAAAGTTTTCGAAAGGTTATGAATTTTTGCTCAAAAATGCATGAAAAGTATCCAAGAAATCAACTGAACCATGTATGTTTCACCTAGACAACGCCTACCCCGAAAAACCCGCAGTTAATTATGTTGATGTTCACGCTTTACTATACCTTTTCCCTAATTTAAACTTCAGGCAAGGTTATTCTTTATAAAAAAGTAATATATGAATTTTCTTGGTAAAAACCTATTAAACGAATGCTATCGCTGTAAAAAATCATTATTTTTTGAAAAATTGAAAAATATGCTTCATCTAGATTCATAGTTCAATGAAAATCATGGGTTTTTAATGGCTGGTCGTCTTTCTTTTTCTACAATATGGATACACGGGAGGAATGTGCCCAGGTCTAGCCGGACCGGCGCCCAGGTCTTTACCAGTCTGGGATGCACCGGCCCGGACCGGGCAATACCCGGCGGCAGTACTGGCAAAACCTGGGCGAACCCGGGCACCGGACTGGCCAGTACTGAAATGACCTGGGCGAACCCGGGCACCGCACTGGCCAGTACTGAATGAACCTGGGCACCGGACTGGGCAGTACTGCGGCAGGGCTGAACCATACCGGGCTTTCCTCGCTTTACCCCCGCTTTTCCTTGCTATTCCGGTGCATTTTGGATCCAAAATAGGCACAAATAGGTTAGGACATCTTTATCATACATATAATACGCATATGAAAGTATATCACAACGAATAGAGGCCGTAATATAAAGTTTACAATCAAAAAATACAACAAAAAAATGTTAATAAAACAAACACAGGCTTTTACTTGCTTTATCTTCTTTCCTTTGACTTGTTGCGGCGCGGTGCTGTCGGCGGGCGGCCCCGCGCTCGTCTTCGGCTCGTGCTCGTAACTAAATCGGCCGGAGAAGTATTTAAAGTACCCACTAACCTAAATCCAATAGTAGTCGATCCTTGTCTTGCTCCCTGCCGCTCGTCGCGCGTGTCCCTCCAGTTTGCCGTGTCGAGATTCGACCTGAAAAAGGGCGATTGATCATAAAACTCAAAAAAACAGAGTACCTGCACATTCTCGCTTGCCAGTCGCTTCATACCGTGTCGTTGTTCTTCGGGAAGTTGTTCTGCGGCTATCTAGGATAAAGAGCATGAATATTTTAATCGAATCTCTATTAAGCTTAGTATTGTCGAAATTTCTAGATTTCTATTTTTTCCAATAACTAATCTCTCGGAAAATCATTCAACTACGATGCCAAAAATTTCGACATTTTTGCCAATAAGCCGTTTTATCAGATATTCTCACCGTGCTCAGTTGCTATTTTTTTGCCGGCCGCTGTAGCCGAACATTCTTCGTACGAGTCACCGACGTCTTTCGTCGTCTAAAACCCAGTAAAAAATCCTAAACAGCAAATTACCGAGCGACTTCATATTTTGATACATTTTGGACTTCTCGCTCGGCTCCTTTGCACCGCCCGACTTGGCCCCATCACCGAATTCCAACTTCTTAAAAAATTGTTGGCTTATTTTCGAACACTTACCTAATGTTTTCCTTATCCGCGGTAGTTGACTGAATTTTATCGACCTTATTGCCCAAGCTGTTGAGGTGCTCTTCACGATCGCGCAGGCTAAAATTTGGTAAAGAGAGATAACGTTGCCCTACCTGTAGCGAGAGCATTTCCATGATATCCAGCATTTGGGAGGCTGAAGGCGTCGGCTCGATGCTTTGCGTGGGGCGCACATCATCGAGGCCCCTATCAACGTCGATTTCAACTGGGCCGTAACGTCCCGCATCTTCTTCACGAACCCTTCGAAGCACTCGTGCTTCACTTGACCGATCTATAACAAAAACCAACATTCATTTGAAGACTTGGACTACCGTTGCAGCGCCAACGGCTTTCAGAATTTGTTCCTGTTGTTCCCATCTCTCCATCGCATCATCGCTATCTTTCCACTCGGCTTCCTTAATGCCGGGTTTAATCTAATCGCCAGATATTATACCTCTTGTTCGAGGAAACGCGTTTGTTGCTCGCGGCGCTTTGTATCCCCTTCGAGGGCATCTGCTCGGGATGAGTAGAACCTGGGCAGTCAGATTTATATTTTCGTTTAACAACTTACTTTTCCGTACCCTCATCAGCATCATCGTTTTCATCCCCACGAATCAGCCGATTTCGCATTCCTTTTTGCCTGAAAACCCATTCATTTCTATTGTCTATCAGTTTTTCACTACCGAATCCTTTGATCGACGCGTAGACCGCCTTTGAGTCAGGGATTCCACCTAGACAATAACTAAAGAAATACTGATAAAAGCTTACTAAGCGTCGCTGGGAATTTTGTCGCGAGTTTCCCTCTCTTGCTCGTATTCATCGTCTTCATCAGACATTTCCATTTTTCGATCGTTGAGGTCAGTCCGTGAGTGAGGCCGTGAAATCCTTTCCCGAGCATATCGCGCCGTGTAGTCGGTATTTTCCTCCTGTAGGCTCCTAAAAAAAGCTTAAGAAATGTAATTATAGCCAACCTCTTTGACCGGGCGTCCTGTGGGTATGACGGCGACTTCCAGTTGCTCGTCTACTTCCTGAGAGAGCAATTCAGACATTTAAAAACACCCAACCTTATCAATCTTGACTTTTTCGACGTCTCTGAGCTGTTCTTCCAACCGTTTCATGCGCCACGCGCCTTTCTGCTTCTTCTTGTACGTCAGCAGCTGTACCTAAACTGAATTTGCCATTAAATACCTTCTTTCGGGGGCTCCGCGGCGTCTCGCCCGTTCGTCGCGTGTCGACTAAATAATAGTGAACTAGAAAACGATATGGGCAAACCTCAACAATGCGCTCCGTCCGCTTTGCGCCTTCCTCGTAGCGTCCGTCCTTCCCTCTTCAACTAAACAAAACATAGTTGAATACAAAATGAGTATTAACCTTTATTGATCGGTCCTTCTTGTCGGCGATGGCGCCGTTGTTGTCACGTCGGCCTGTAAAAACAACTTTAAAATGGCATCGGAGATGATAAAAGTGGAAAAGAAAGCGGAAAGTTGAGAAAAATAGTGAAGCAAAGTTTTTGACCGAAAATCGCGAAAAGTGCTCGGCGAAAAGTTTCAAATTGCCCCAAAGATAGTAAATTTCACGTCAAGATGCTGTATTTTATCATTATTGAACAAAAATTTGCGAAAGAAATGACGAGGAACAAGGTTTCATTGACTTGTAAAAACTTTGTTTGTATTGTTTTGTGAAAAAGTGCCAAAGTCCCGGGTTCCGAACGCAGTAATACAATTAACGTAAATCCGGGACTCGTTCAGTACTGGGCCAGTCCGGCAGACGCCCCCAGGCTGTGCCCGCACTCGCCCGCCTTTGCCAGTACTGGCAATGCCGGGCGAGTCCGGCGAACCCCGGCAAAGCCTGGGCGAGCCCATGGGAGGCCGGGGTGAGTCCGGCCAACCTAGGCACATTCCTCCCGTGTATCGCCAAAACTACAATGTTTCTCCTAAAGGTATTGCATCAATTGAATTGAAGCAAACTCACAAAATATCACTGAATTTTTTCACGTTTTGAGAACGGAAACATGTCACATCGTCCTCAAACTGCGAAATTTCGATTGGAATTTTTGATTTTTGCAAATTTTTATCATTGTTTTTGTTTGTTATTATCCTCAGATCCTAATACAAATTTTTAAAGTAAATGCGAAAGATTTATACTTTCAAAATCCCACCAGAAACACATTGACCAAGTCGAGGATTTGGCTGTAGGCGGCTGAGGCAGCCTCAATTCGTGGCGTCTCCGTAGCGAGCGGGACGTTTAGGCGGCGAAGGGTACTGTAATTGTGGAGAATTGGGAATGCTGAATAGTCTAAGACAGATTCCTAACATTATCTAGATCAGGATGAAACATTGAGTTTGACGATCGAACCAGCAACAATCTGGGGCTGCTGTAAGCCGATGTTTGAAACAATCTATTTTTTGAAGAATAATTTTAATCTATTTTTCCGTGATTTTCGTAATATAATAAAACCCCGTGAATCAAACTCCAAATTATTCAAAATACCGCTCATAAAAAGGTGATGTTGGTGTTGAACGACTGCGTTAAGGAAGATGTTCGAGAAAAGGTTTTTGTCTGCGAAGAAAACCGAATAATAATATAAGGGATTCCTGCGTAATCCATTAAATTTAAACCTAAATTATGAAATTTGACGGGCTTTAATTTTTCGGTATTACAGTATCGACAACTACAAGCTACATCAATTGTATCACCCAGTTGAGACCGACAAAAATAGCGTTTTAAAACCGCTTGGACCGTCCTAAAATCATTGACTGGTTACCATACTTAGAAAGTATACGAAAAACTGGCTCTGGTTTGTTAGCGGGGGGTAAAGCTAACGCACCCCTCCTTACCATAAATCAAATGGATCCCAAAAAATGTTTCGAAAAGGCCGTTTCTCCCTGCCATGCAATCAAGTTTAATTAGCGAGCTCGGTTAATCGAATAAAGGCATCCAACATACCGTTGATTTTCATCATTCATCGTCCGCAAATATTCATTGCAATGGTCGACCTTTTCAAAGTACCGCTGCAACCGCCGAAGGCTTTCCACGTTTTTTGGGAGTTTACGGTGGGAATCCACTGAAATTGTAGAGTTTCGAAACGATAATCGGTAATGGATACAAATTAATGACTATTAGCTGCTCCCCTAAAGTCGCTCCCCTAAAGTGAATATTTAGGAGCACTCAACCAAGCTTCATTATTCTTCGTTGCTACAAATCCACGCTGCAATGTTGTAAAACATGTTATCCTTTATTTTTGTCGCTAAATTTAGAGCACGAAGAGCTCCTCTTTACAACACTGGCCGCGTGAGAGGTCATAATGACGATGTCAATCCGTTTGATTGGAGTATCCTGTGTAAATAGGCGGGTGTCTTTTAGGTCGGTTTAGCAAAAGACGCGCATCTGGCCCACTAAAACCACATAGAACGCCTGTTCGAATATATGGATCGGACTCACATCCAACAAGTTTGAGGTTGGTATTAACGTGTAATCCCTCTTGGATTCTGGTAAATTTTGGAAAGCGGCTTTTTGGAGCCGCGCTGATTGGGATTTCGTGGGCAAGACAGCGATTCCTTTTTTCTTTGATACGTCTGCGGAACGCCTGTCTATGCGAAAACACCGGGCGTTTTTTACGTTCATTGAAAGACCATGTATGTTGATCAAAAATTCGGGTCGCCTACGGACTGTCGACTTGGCTGCAACATTTTTTTGAAGTGAGGCTGTCTTTATGAACAAACAATCGATGGCATTCCGCTCACAACCGCGCCGTAAAAGGTTTTATCGTCATTTTCTAGCAAAGTAAGGCTAATTCAAATACCTAATAAATCCCCACTCACCACTGCGTTTCGAGCGCTCCGAAAAGTTGACGATCCGCTCCAATTTACGCTCGAGCCGGTCGAGCCGATCGATTTCGAAGGGATCCTCGTGTGGTGCTGAAAAATTCCATTCTTTGATTTTTGTTTAATGCATGTTTCAACGAGACCCATTAGAAGGTTTGAATTTGCAAGAATTAATGATATAACGGCCTGCGCATAACTCCCAGATCAAAGGGATCCACGCCGTTTAGATTGTTGGATTTGTAGGCTGATATCTTAATCGAGATTTTCGTTGTCAACTCATCTAAAATGAAGTTCAAGGTTTTACAAAATTGCGTAGAAATCGACAGCCCCCACTTTTTGTGTACTGTCTCCTTTAAAGTTCCTTAAAAGTCCCGGCTTACCCATACTCCGTTTTTTCCTATTGACGCGTACCCGACGCAGCGGCCGACGCCGTTTCTCACTCCTCGTTGTCACGTAATATGAAGGCGGCAAGGGCCGAGTGATTTTCTAAAAAATGTGTTTTTTTTTTGTTTTTTTCTGGGTTATTTGTCTGTTGTGATATGGTAGTTTCTTCATTGACGTCATTCCTGAAATATTATTTTCAGTGACCGAACACTTATCGAATGCATCTAAATTTAGTTTACCGAGCATTTTCGCACTCGAAAATCCTTTTTCGGTAACGGCTAATTTTACCCGAAAGATGTTTCACAATAATAAGACCTCCTACTTTCACTCACTTTTTTTGTTCTTTTGGTGGTTAAATTCGAAAATATCATTGTAGATTCATTGGAACCTCAGAGCTTCTTTGACTCTCCAAAAATGCCGTAGCTAGGGAGTTTTTCTTGAAGATGTTTTTCACGGTTAATTTAAATTCATTTCAAATTTCAAAACTTCAAATGACTAGGGAATGCTTTCGGGAAATTATTTTTGGTAATGGATTTGCTATAAAACATTTCTTCCAAAAAATCTTCACCTGAGATTTGATGCGGTCCCGCTCGGCGAGCACGTGCGTCACGCATATGGCTAATTTTTGTACTAAAAATGGGATATTTTTTGCGCGTAACCATATTCAATTGTGTGAAACAATTTTCTTAGAAATTAACCGACCTGTTTTCGCGTTCCTCGCGCACTCGTCGAATACGATGCCCTCCAGTCGCCCAACGGATTTTGCCTCGTGCCGTCCTTTTGACTAAATGCGATTCAATGGATTAAAAAATTTTCTAATGCCTTTTAGATATTTTTTATTCATTTAAATAAATAGTACAATATACTACTGTACTAGGTACTATACTATGTACTACTGAAATAAATTCGTGATCGGATTCACTATTAGACAAGGATCAAGGATTTAGCGACAAAAAATACATTTTTGATAGAGAAAATATGTTTCTTCTAGCATCCGTATGTGGAATTTTTGTGAATTTCATTAGTATTAACTTCTTAAGCCGTTCGTTTTTTGCGCACTTCCTATCCTATAAGCGAGAAAAGTATGTGTGTTTTCTGTACGGCCGTTTTCTCGGCCGTCAGGCCGCGTTTCGAGCTGATTTTTGGCATGGAGGTGGGAAATGTCACTCATAGAAAACGGCTTTTCGGATTTTTCGAAATTCTTTGATTTAACAATTTTACAAGCGAAAATGTGAAAAATCCTTAACATTTTTGGGTACGCACGTTGTCCGGAACTTTTCTCGACCCCTAGAGGGAATTGGGGTCTCATTTTTGGAGGGTAGATGGGAAAAGTAATTCCCCAGATACATTTTTTCGGATTTTGCAAAAATCTTTAAAATAAAGTTTTTATGTGTATTTTTCTGAAAGGTCCTTAATAAATCGCGGAATGGGCCGTGGTGTCCAGGCCATAACTCGACGCCCTGATGGAATTCCGGGCTGAAATTTGGATCGTTTATGCAATCAAGGGTGGGGATCATGCGCATCTTATTATCTTTGCAAATTTTCCACAGATTCAAACTCAAAAATAGAATTTTGTAAAGTGACCAGAAGGCCTCCCTCCGGGATCCTTGGTCACCCTTATCTTTGCTCCCGCCTCCCCAGGACAGAACAGGCCTTTCCCGCCGCCTCTTCCCGTGGCCTCTGTGGTGTATTGGATTAGCTCTCGCCCTACCACGCGAGGGGTCGTGAGTTCGGATCCTGGAGGGAATTTCGTTTTTTGCTTTTTGGTAGTTCGGCAACAAAACATATTTCTAGGGTCTCGGTGCGCAAGATTTAGGTCTGGCTCTCGCTCTAGCGCCGCAGGCCAAAGAAAAGGCCCCTGGCTCGGGCTCTCGCGCCGCAGGCCAGATCCTGGAGAAAAACCAGGAGCTAGCGCCGCAGGCTCAAAGATTCTAGCGCAACGCTGGCTCTGGCGCCGCAGGCCAAAGAATGGCTCCTTGGCTCAGGTTCTAGCGCCGCAGGCTAAAAAAAAGAGGGTATTCAAATTCATGGTTCCTGGACGTGGTCCAGTGGAAAATGGCCGCGAAGCGGTCTTTTTCCACTGGTTTGTAACATAAATGGGATTTTACAAGAAAAATTTTAAACAAAAATGTAAACTCAATTCAATTGGGAATTTCACTCTGAAAGGTGTGGTAAAGCTTGCAAAACGCGAAAAACCAGCGATTTAAAAATAAGATGTTTCGGGTCAGTTCCAGGTTAAAAACTGCCGAATAGAGCTAATGTCCCGGAGGTTGCTAAATGATCTATCCAATCCATTTCAACACCTATCTAATCCATTTCTAAAATCTAATTTAGTGAAAGTTCCGGATCAGAAGCCTCAGAAGCCAGTTTTAGACCCAAAACCGACATTCTATGTAATAGTTATAAAAAAAACCAAGTTATAATTTATAAGATGCCCCACCTTGAGCAACCCTCTGACGGCAGCGATATACCATACTCGGTCCATCTCCTTCCGATCCAACTCCAAAATTCGGTCCTTCGGTTGAGGAATGCGATCGAGGACGCTTGGCTCAGTGGTGGCGGCGAGCAGCAGCAGCACAGCTGAAACATCCACGATTTATAACGAAAGTAGCATTCGGCAAAATTAATCCCTCCGCCAAAGACGAAAATTATCATTGAAACGTTAAATTTTTAACGGATTTTAAATCAAGATTTAAAAATAGTGGCGGTTTGAAACATTTTCACGATTTGTTACCAGTTTTTGAAAATCATTTTGTCGAGATTTCATGTTGGCGAAAATAATCTTGCCGAAATATGAATTCCCGAGATTTCGTTTCATCGAAATTTCATTTTGTCGAAATTTTAATCCGCTGAAATCCCAATTTACGAAACGTTTGAGATGAATATACGAGGTAAGTTTCGAAAAATTCTAATTTAGACCAAAATCATATTTCGACAAAATAATAAAAATTTAAAAAAATGAAAATCAACCCATGTTGATTGCGGACATTATGATTTTAAATTTCAGCCCAAAATAATGTAAAAGAAAATAGTTATGACGAAAACCTTCCTTACCAAAGTTAATAATTTGCGAATTTTTGGGCAATTTCGCGAAATTAATGTTATTAATTCTGATTTTTCATGCCTTAATTAATTTAATGCATTGCTCGGAAAAAAAGTTTATACACAGGTACACAGCTTCATACTGGGGTAATTTTTCGTGCTCAGTAAGGTTTTCTTTGCGCAACATTCATTTTTAATCAAATTTTTTCTCTAGTTTTCAGGAGATTAGCTTTTGAATTCAAACTCGAAGGACGTAAGCATCTAATTCAAATTGAAATTCCGTTAAAAATAGCTGAAAACTGACCGAGACATGCGAGCATCCACCCGTCCTCCACGCATTCAACGGGGGTCGTTGAAAAGTTAGGGATTGGCTTAAACTTGGGTTTCTTCTGAAAATATGAAACGTACAATAGAAAAATAATATTCCGGAATGAATCTCTATATTGTGAATTGCTAAAATAGAAATAATTATGCACATAAAATTTTCGGAGGTAGAGCAGCATACGGGATCCAATTATTTGGTCCTCATCGAGTCGACCCTAAGACAATTGGCGAAACATGCATAAATTCAGTGGTTTTTTAAAATATCTTTAGCAATTTATTCAATGTACTTTTTTATTTTTATTATTTTAAATTATTCAATGTACAAGTGCTTTTCCTGTAATACTGAGTTTTTTCGCGTCGCAAACCCAAAATCTGTGAAACATTAAATTCGCAACATTTTTCATCATTTGTGCGACAACCGGAAGAACACGTTGTATGAAACGTACTGCTCCAGTTTATAACCCAAGGTCGTCCAAAACTAGAGGAAAAACAATTATTAAACAGCTTGAAAATATTTTGCAACTGCAAAATTATTGCCCGGGGCAATAAAACAGTTTCGGGCGAACCAACTAGGTGGGGGCGAACTGTTCTGCCGGTTCCGAAAAGTCGAAAGTTGTTTTTCTCTCTCTCTCTCTCTCTCTCTCTCTCTCTCTCTCTCTCTGCCTCTTCCTGTCTCTCTTTAGGGGGGTAATTACAGGATTGTGTTGAAAGTCCCCTCCCCGGATATTCCCCCAGGGCACACCAACCCCAAAAAGCACCAACCAAATGGAAGAGAGAGAGAGAGAGAGAGAGAGAGAGAGAGAGACCAATACTTGCACCAACTTTTGATCGCTTCGAAACCTCAGGACATCACTTTCCGCTACGCTACCACTTGCACCACCCCCGGAAAGTGGGCCAGTACTCAAAGATGCACCAAGCAACACCGCAAAAAGTACAAACTGAACCGGAAATGGGGACGGGGATGAGGGGCCAGACAGGAAGGGGCAGGCTGGCAGGGATTGTTGGGGAATAAAACATTAAGAAAATCGAAATTCATAATTTAAAATCCGGTTGGTCCTAGGGTATGAGCTAGGGGGGAAGCTGGCAGGGATCATTGGGGGATCAAAACATTAATCATGGGAGCCCGCCTAAATATCAGATTAGAATTGAGGAAATCAGTTTGGCGCTGTACCGTCAGCAGGGGGGGAGGAGATTTTAGCAGAAGCGAAAACGATCTAGCCTATAAATGCCTAGTGAAATTTTAAGTGATGCATCGTGTTTTAGGTTGTTATAATATTCTAATTTTATAATTGTTTTACCAACGCGCTATGCTTAAAAACGGCCTAGAGCGTTAATGTGGATATTTCGTAACACTTCCCTTTTCTTTTTTGCGTAAAAAAAAGTGTTTGACATTGTTCGTGTTCGAAAATCTTATCTAGGATCACCTGCTTACCTTTAACTACTGCCTGTTATGCGTTGAAATCCTTCACGAGAATTTTGTGAAATATTCAAAAAGCTGTTCATTCAATTTAATGAAGTTGCAAGCAATTCAAAACATTTCAGCTTTTATAAGCTTTTTAACTTATGTTTCATCATCTCATGGCCTACAGTAATTTATTAGCGGCTCTAATGAGCACCGCCATTCAGCAAGCGAAAATCAACCCGCCGAAAACACAAGAACTCGCTCCACTTGACGTGGCGCTCGATCCGGTTTTTTGGCAACCATTTGAGAGCTTTGTGGAGGTACCGCTAAACTACGAAAGAACATTTCCTACAATCCCACCACTTCGCCAAATGATGTTTCAGCGCTGAATTGGCTTAAGAATCATTGATATAATCTAATATGGCTGTCTATGCGCGGTTAAACCGAAAAAGGCAGAGGATTCCAGATGTTTCTCGCGTCCTGCCAGGCTCCGCTATCCTTAATTTTTCCACAGCTATTCTTTTAAGAAATGCCGCGAATTTTAAGCCAAAGAACTTCAATTAAAGGCACGTTTTAGAAGTAAAAATTATTTAGAGCCAAAGAACTTTGTGCAGCGGGCATTTAATTTTTTGCGCTTGAAATTACAAATATCCAAAAGAATAAAAATAGTATGAATAATTAAAGATTTATTCGAAGATTGCGTATTAAAATTCAAGTAGATATTTCAGCTCAAAGCATAAACTAAAAGGTGCTAAAAATAAAAATTATTTCATCGAAATTTGTGTTTCAAAAACATGTTTCAAAAAAGTGTAGTTTTGACTGGAGTATTTTAAACCGCAATAAACAGTGGTTCTCCGCCTCTCCGCCTAATAGAGAGGGCAGGTCAGCAGAGAGCATTTTGGAAAAGGATGGAAAGCAGGCTAGCAGAGAAAATTTGGGAAGGACAGACCGTACTGTAAGATCGCGTATGAGCATTGGAACAGATTGCTGTGAGTGCAAAGATGGGTGCTATTCCGCCATAATCCGAACAACTTGTTCCTCCTCCGAAATCCAACTGGACCTCCCCGAGGGGTGAAACTCGTGTTTTCACGGGTTTCTTTCGAAATGGAAGGAGAGAGAATGCGAGAGAGAGAGAGAGAGAGAGAGAGAGAGAGAGAGGGAAGACTGGAAACACCACCAAAACTGGTAGACTCTAATGTTGAGCACGAGTGGTGCGGATCTCGAAATTTGGTGCCTTCAGAGGCGTTTAACGGGACAGGAAAGACAATATTATGGATTTTCGGCACTAGGCTGTTAGCGGCGGGGGAAACACATTTTTGTTATTTCCACCTTGACGTGTTGCTAATATATAGGGAATTTTTATAGTGATTTTAGCAGTCCTTGAATATTAGAAGCTAATAAAAAAATTTAAAAATTTTTACTTTTTTTTGAACCATGCCTCTTATATTTTCCATCAAAATGTTCAAGGAATTTGATCAGTGTTTTATCTAAAAACTGTATAAAACTATAAAAATTATTTATTTTTTTCATAAAAGATGACTTGAAAAAATCTAGTTTCCCCCGGCTAAAAATAGTACCCAGTCGATTGGCCCGTGGTTAATAGCTAAGCGGCTTAAACCGTTTACTGTTTTTTTTAACGAATCATATTTTCAGATGAAAATTGCTGCTGTAAGTGTGGCGTGGTTTGGTATCTTTAGGCAAAAAAACCTTTGCGCGAAAGTTTCAGCTGGTTTCAAAATAACGCCTTATCGACCTTTGGCGATGCTGGGATTTCATCCGGCGACTAGGTTGAGCATGGACCCATCGTCGTCTTTCCACGATTTAGAAGAACGTAGACGGTTCTCGAAAATTTATTATTTTAGCATCGCCTATAACTAGTTGTCCCCCGGGAAAATTCAGTTTAGTTTTAGCTATCAAAATGTTTCAAAATGTTTTAGAGTTTGGCGCGTTTCGCTTTTGGTAATCGAAGTAGGCGTTGTAATTATCATTTTGCCTTTTTTGGGAAAAATATAGTCATGGATTCTTAACTATTGTTTAGTATCAAATTCGATTGTGGTGTCAAATTTTAAATGTCGCTATATTTTGTATTAAAATCTGCTGCTCATTTTTTTGCAATGCGGCGCTTACCATCTTGGATATATTTTCCCTAGAGTTTGCAAAATCAGTGTTTCGAATTTTGGCGTGTATAAAACTCGAAAAAACAAAGATAGTATGGTATCCTTCTGTGTTGCTACTCCCCGCTGTGACTTACAAATTGCCGTTTTTGAAAACTTTCTCTTTCACATATTTCTTGAAAAATCTTTTTTTTCTGAAATCGAAAATTCGTCGTTCAAAAAGTATGGATAGTCTATAAAATTGTACAATTTAAAAATGTAATTTGGGTGTTAAATGTTTAATGCCGCCATAAAATTGTGGATCAAAAGTTGGTACGCAGTCTTTTTTAGCGATTTGGCGTTCTGATTTTTGGAGTGTTTTTACTAGAGTTTGAAAAATCAAGGTTTCGAATTGTGGCCTGTGTCAAGCTAGTATGATCTCCGCGATTGTTGCAAATCTCATCGTCCATCGACCTTCATTTTTCCATTTTTTTATATTTTTGCTCTTTCAATAATTTTTTGGAAATTTTTTGTTCTGAAACCGAAAATTCATTCTTCAAAAAGAGTCTAGTCGCCCTAAAACACAAAAGAATTTGCGAGGTACTTCCCCTTTTTCCGGGCGGTCTCCGTCACCGTATCCAGGTTACGGTGTGCATCCCAAAATGGGAGCGCTCTCCTCGGTGCAGCCGTTCCGGATTCCGCGCCATTCCTCTTGACACCCCGACTACTGCATCAAAAGAACAAAATCTAAACCGAAGATGGCCCGCAGCAGCTTCTGGGAGATTCTATTCTGCATCATTTGCCCGGTGGGTTTCGGTGGTTTTTTAATGTCGAAAAATGCCGAAATTCAAGGCGCCGAAGTTGTTGACGTCCAAATTACCAAATTTCGAGATTTTTTGATAATACCGACATTTCTGTACGTCGAAACCTCATATCGAAATTTTTATTTCCTAACTTTCCAAAATATCATAATTTAATTTGATGGAAATCGCCTGATGTCCAACCTCCAGAATGTCGATGTTTCATATTATCAGGATTACTCGGAAGGCCTTTATCGAAACTTTGCGAGTGCCGAAGTTACCTACTTTCGATATTGTCGAATGTCATCGAAATGTTGAATGTATATCGAAATGTCATAATACCAAAACTTTGCGAATTTCAACATTCACAATGCCGGCATTCACGTTGTCGAAATACCGTAACTCAACTTTCATAATCTCGAAACTTCTGTGTGTCAAAATTATGGGCATAATAAATTAAAGGTTAAAGAATTGGCATTGGAATCTCGGCATTACGACATTTTGCAATTAACAAATTGTCTGCTGACATCTCGACCTTTTGAAATTTTCAATTATCGACATCGTGGTATTTCGACAATATGAAATTTTGTAATTGTGAAACTTGGATATCATAAGTCTAGACATCCTTACGCTTCGAAAAACTAAAGTAGTAATTATCAAAATTCGATGCTGTGAATTTCGGCAACAGTTACGGGTCCAGAAAAATAAAATGTTTCGGCGGCCAGTCTAGACGATGTGAAAAACGTTGGATTAATCAGCAAGTTGTCGCATAACTATTTTTCATAATTTCTATTTTAAAAACAAATCCTCCTTCGTGCTACAGGACTGTAAAGTGTCCCAAAATGTACGCCGTAGTTTACTTCAAAAAGGAATACGTAACTTTTAGTAAAAAAGCTGAAGATAAAAATGATTAAGATAAAAAGTGGGAAAAACCCGGTTGTAAACGAGGCTTTAACCTCCGTAAATCCAGAAAGTAAAGAAAAAAGTGGATAGCCTGATTTTTGTATTTCCGCTTTCTGTCGGAGCCACATTATGCTGACAGCAGCAACACGGCCCCAATAAAACCCTGAAACACCAATTTTTTTCAGCCGGTGACGGTGGGGCTTGTGACGGGCGACGGCGGAAAGGCATGCCTGAACTTCCTCCTCTGCATGCTCTTCTACATCCCTGGACTCATCCATGCCATCTACATAATGATGACCTATTAAAAATCGATGCCCTCGTGATGCTAATTCTAAAATTGTCAGTTGGATCTGACTGAAATCATGTTATTTTTTTAGGAACTTCTGCTTTGAAAGAAATTGGTGAACCAAAAATATAATGTTTCGAAAAGAATTCATGAAAAAGCTTACGGACCGAAACACAGTGCGTCCGCAATTTTACCGGCTAACTTGAAAAGAAAGCAGGCTAGCAGAGAGAATTTGGGACGAAAAGGGATGGCATACTAACAGAGAGCATTTAGGAAGAAAGGGGAGGGCAGACTAGCAGAGAGCATTTGGGAAGAAGAGGTAAGGGTAGCTAGCAGAGAGCATTTAGGAAAAAAAAGGGAAGGCAGGCTAGCAAAGAGTATTTGGGAAGAGGCGGGAGGGCAAGCTAACAGAGTACCTTTAGGAAGAAGAGGTAAGGGTAGCTAGCAGAGGGCATTTAGGACGAACAGGGAGGGCAGGCTAGCAGAGAGCATTCTGGAAAGCCTTTTGGCAGGCGGTGTCGAAAATTGATGCACGCATTGAATTTGCGTTATTAATTTTCATTTTTCCATTTTATTACATTTATTACATGAAACATCATAAAAAATACGTGATAAACCTGAAACTTCAGGGCATTAAGGCGTGGATTTGGGATTGAGAACCGTAACCCGAGTGGTATAATCGTAAAGTGAAGACAGTAAGACACATATTAATGGGCAGGTTTAATGGGAAAGGCACTAATTTCACGAATCACAACGTAATATTTGGCGAATTCTAACCAATAAAATCACTAGCGGCAGATTTAGCAATTAAGTGAGGGTGGATATATACTCGTTTTGTAAATAGAAAGTAGCGAAAACAAAAACGAATTAAATGGGAGAAAGTAAAGCAACAAAAGTAAGGACAATCAATTATCAACAAAATTTTAAAAAAGACAAGGTTAGGGGTTGAGGAATAAAACAACGATGATAGGCCTGAAACGACAAATCACACTCTAATTTTTTTGAAGTTTCATGTTTCAAGGAAATTAAATTATTTCGGATTGCGAAAACAAGTATTATTCTTCTTTCTGCCAATATTCTAAATTGAGCTCGGAATTTGAAAATTAAGTAATAGGTTCTTTTCCAATATCGGGGGGATGAACCTAATTTGCTGTGCCCAGTAATGCCTAATAATTTAATAGTCACTATTTTTATAGTTTTTTAGTAAAATTAGCTGCATTTCATGTATACAATTACCAAGGATGCTTCAAAATTTAGAAAAATCTGGATATTTGGTCGAAAAATCGATGTTTTTGTTTTTAAGCAAAAATTTCGAAGGTGTTTAGGCTTAGGAAGAGTAAAAAAACCTTTAAAACCCATCATATTGTTATACTAAAAACTAGATCATTAGGAAAAGCCCCCCCCCCCGACAATGCAAAAGCACCAAAAAAATATGTCCAAAGTCGCTAAAATAAATAATTAATGGAAGTATTTCAAATTGGCAGTATATTCTCGAGCTCGAGCCCCTGATTGTCGCAAAAGTGCTGGTCGCCGATGAGAATGTTCAAAAATGGCAGGCAGTTAAACTGGGCGCACCATTTGCATTCGATCGGGATGTTCCAGAAGAAGATGTACCTGGAATGGTACATATAGGATAGCGGGGGAAATAACGGGGGGGGGCACTCAAACTTTTTATATGATAAAAGTATTTTTAAATATGCTTTTTTCGGGCTGTAAAAAAAACTCTTAGTATATTTTTCAGTCCTCTATCGAATGGCATTTTCAAAATATCGAAAATATTCAAAACGCCGAAAATTTTTTCCCCCCCCTGTTATCCTATGTGGTGCCCATAGTTTTCAAAAATGGTTTTTAGGCTATAAAACTTTTATAATACATTTTTTCGCGTTGTAAAAAAATCTCTTAGTATATTTTTTGATGTTCTATCGATTCGCGCTTTCAAAATATCGAAAATCGCAAAAATTTGGCTTTCCCCCGTTATCCTATGTGCTGCCCATGGATTTTGATCAATTTTTGTTTATTCGATAAAAAATTTCATTTACATTATTTCGGGCTGAAATTAATTCTCCTAGGGCAGTTTTCGACGCTTTATCGAATGACGTTTTCAAAATACCGAAAATTTCGAAAATTTCGAAAATTTGACTTTCCCCCCCCGTTATCCTATGTGCTGCCCATAGATTTTCCTCAATTTTTGTTTATTCAATAAAAAATTTCCATTACATTATTTTGGGCTCAAATTAATTCTCTTAGTATATTTTTCGACGCTCTATCGAATGGCACTCGCAAAATCACTCAGTAATTGCAAATTTCATAATAATGAGTGCCCCCCGTTATTTTATTCCCCCCGTTATCCTATGTA